GAGAGAGAGAGAGAAGTACGAAAAGCGGGCGATATCGGTTGGAGGGGGGGGGGGGTGGGCAGTCGTGGAGAAGACGCTCTCAAGAAAATACACGTAAGAGCGTGTTATAAAGCAATGACGACAATGGCGGTCGAAAGCGTGGATGTTCGGCCACTAGAATCTTCTGCAACCGTTCTCGCTCGCCACTTTTAAACAATTGCAGCGAATTTTCTCACTTTCTCACCCGTCTATTCTCCGCCTCTTGCGGAGCAAGATGGGGGATTGTCGGAACGAGGAGGGGGGACTTTTTCCTTTTGGAAAAAAAAAGAAAAGAATCTTCTCGAGGAGGGATCGGATCGGATTATTCAAGGGGGCCCCTGTCGATTCCAACCGTTTAGTTTCCCCCGCTTGTGGAGCGGAGGGATTACAAGCGGAGAGCGTGGCGATTAAGCATTGTTTTGCTGTGGCGCGGAGGAGGGAGGTTAGTGTTTTGCATTTAATAAGTCCGAGTGTTTCGAGAGAATCTTCCTCGCGAAAATTCCTCGTAAACGGTAATCTACCTTTCCTCCACTCTTCCTCTTCGTGCCTCCCTCTGTTCGGGGTTATTGCGCCCGCGTGGATGGGAAGAGGTGTGCCAGAGTTTCGAGAAAAACGGGGGGACGGTGCATTAAGACGACTCGAGGAGGTTTCGAAGGGCGCTTAATATCGTTGATTAAAATTTTTTCTTTCCCCGTTGTTTCCAATTTTCCGCTTTTGGATATATCCCTTTCAAAAATTTATAATAACTTTCGAAAATTCGAGACTAGTCAAGTTTCAGTTCCCGTTCTTCTTTTTCATTTTTTTTTGTGGCGAAACAATAAGGGAATTTTGGAGTACAATGACCTATTGAGAGCGGAAAATTGTTTTTTTTTTTCTTTACTCCTCTCTTTTTCGTTTTATTTCCATTCCACAAGAAAGCGTTCGAAATGGTTAAAAATCCAATTCCCCTTAAACAACTCTTCACAACCTGGTCGCTTGGAGAGAGAAAGAGAGAAAAAAAGAAAAATCGTCCAAAAAAAGAACGAAACAAACAAAAGAGGCAACAACAAGACCCCTCCCCCCCATCCTCCCCTCAAAAATCGTCCCATCCCTGACAAAAGAGCCGATAGTGGTAGTGGTATCGGTTTATATATCCGCGGGCCATCGTGGGGATGAATATTCCCTTGGATCATATATATATATATATATCCGCGCTTTTATTTATCGAGGCCGATATGAAAAAAATGTAAAACTGCCAACACCTTGTGATGCGCCTTCTTGTGTGTGTGTTGCAGGTTGCGAGTTTCCGGCGCAGTGGAACGGCCGCTGGTTCAATCGGGGAATCAGGGGTTGGTGACGGTGAACGGGTCCATGATGACCAACAAGGCCGCTGCATCGAGACCAAAGACGACAAGTTCCTCATTCAGGACACGTGAGTCTCTCTCTCTCTCTCTCTCTCTCTCTTTCTCTCTAGTTTGAATTGCAAGTGAGATATAGCCTATCATATACGGACGTATATATGTGTGCGTTTGTGCGTGTCTACCACGATCGGTGGCCCACACACGAAGGTATCGACAGGCGGCCGTCGATATGAAGCGATGCACGGATCGCGTCCCTTTATCCGCTACCCCTGACCCACGAGCTTTTATTAATTAACTGCACCCTTCGTTGGCCGGCCCCTCTCCGACAAAGCGCCCGAGGCGACGTGCCAACCGACAACGCCGTGTGTATAAAACGTTTCGTCCGCCGAGATGGAAGGTGGAGGGCGGTCCAAGGACGAGCTCGTCGCAATATTATGACGGATGCCGGGGAGCTGTTTCACATCGAGGGTTTCACGGGGAGGTTGAAAGAGAAGAGTTTCTCGTTTGAAACGAGCTAAGAAAATGTATGTCCACCAGATTCTAAGATACAGCGGTTCAAAAATTTTAAAAACTCAAAAATACCCTACCACTTTTTTGGAAGATTGCGTTCGAACTGTTTGTGGGACAGAAACGGGTTCAAAGAAGAGACTTTGCCGCTTGAAACGAGCTAAGAAACCTGCAAAATTTTAAAAAGTCAACAATATCCTTCCACTTCTTTTTAGCGAAGATAGCGAAGAAACCGTTTGTGGAACAATAACGGGTGAAAAATGAGTCGAAAGAGAAGAGTTTCCTGCTTGAAACGAGCTAAGAATATCTTACGTACGCCAGATTCTAAGATACAGCGGTTCAGAAACTGCAAAATTTTAAAAAGTCAAAAATATCCTTCCACTTTTTTAGCGAAGATAGCGTTCGAACCGTTTATGGGGCAATAACGGGTGAAAAATGAGTCTAAAGCAGGAGATTTGGTTGTTTTGGATACTTTTGATCGATACTTTTGAGAATTGGGTTAGGTTCGATTATCGTGTATGTTATATCGGTGGATTCATCGCTAATGCATTCCCCTGTGTTATGTTCTTGCTTGGGATTGATTTGGTTTGATTTTGTTAGAAAAAAAAAAAAAAAAAAAGAATCGGCAACGATAGAATTTGAAGATGGATCGAGGGAGAGACAAAGGAATTCTGTTCGTCGGACGGAGAGAGAGATTGATACGTTGAAAAGGGGATTGTCACCGAGAATTTTTAACGAAATTCACTTCGAATCGATCGAACGATTGAGAAGAATTATAATTTTTTCTATGATCGAATCGATAATTCAACAAATCACTTAAACCCAAAACTTTGAAATAACCGAGATACATACGAATTGTTGATTTCCATCCATTATTTCGAGAAACCGCTTCTGAAATTTTCGTATTATAAAACACGCGTTGCTTCGATTTTTAGTTCTAATAGTAATTCTTCACTCATATCGATATCCCTGATCCGATCTTCCGAAACGGAATGATTTTCCACGTGGAAATTATTTCGAGAGAGGACACGCGAGGAGGAATGCCGGTTGAAAATTTCATTTTGAAAAATGTCTGGTCGCGAAATATGAAAAGCGGTGTTCGAACTATCGAAAAATCCAGGCACTCGTTATCCAACAACTTACGCCACGGCCAGGATCCAATTTCGAAGAGAGAGCGGCCGCCGTCGTACGAGCAGACAGTATCTACGTCGCGTCGTCGTTTTCTCTGGCCCTCCTCTGGTGGTATCGCTGCGAAGCTTAAGGCGCGCTTCGTTCAACGTCGCCTTTAAGCCGCGACGATCACCGATAAGCTGCAACCGGCGGTGAAACCTCGCTTGGAAATTTCTTTTTCTCGTCCGTCGTCAGGGAGGACGAGAGTTTTCGACCCAGACATTAGGGGAGAGACCGGTTAGATACCGCAGAATTTCTAGATATTTTATAAGAAATCGTGTGGGAACTTCTTCTAGGGGATTTTTTCCCGAGCAGTTTTTGCACGAAATCCTAATCCTGATTAATCCGAGCGGAGTTCTTGGAAATTTTTTTTTTTTAGGAATGCATTTCAAGAAATTCGAGGAATTTTTTTTCTGCGGATGAAATAACATTCTTTTTCTATTTTTTTTTTTTTTTAAATATTTGATATTTATTTCTTCTATGGATACGGCGGAATTTTTAAAAATATGCAGGAACTTTTTTAAGATTACAGAAAGAACTTGATCGAATGATGATTAGTCGATGTAACCTTTACGAAAATAGTTTCTAATTATGTATTGTATAATTAAAATTATCGAAAAATTAATACACGATCGTCCATTATTTACATTTGTGCGATAATCTCTCCTTTTGGAATTAACGCGTTAAAGATTCCCTTTTATTCTTGAAGAGAGAGAAAGAAAAAGAAGAAGAAGAAAAAAAAGAAAATTTCTTCATTATTCTCGAAGTTAATATTAAATATTCCCCGGTAATTCTGTTCGCCGTTTAAATTTCAAATTAGCGGGGACGCGAGAGGTCGCGGCAGGGAAGAAGAAGAAGAAGAAGAAGAAGAAGAAAAAGAAGCCGGCGGAATATTCAGAAATTGTTTATCAGAATTTCATTTATTTGCTCTTTTTAGCGCGTGAAACCTTTGGAGCGCAGGATGAAACTCCGGCAAAGTAGTACAATCAACGATAAGACGCGACCGAGATGAGGATCCTTTATTCCGTTTCTATCTCTATCCTCCTCTCCCCTCCCCTCCAGATTCTTATATTCCCGAGTGACCTTAATATCCCCCTGGAAAAAGAAAGGGGAAGTTAGCGAGATCATTTCGTGCAAAATTTCTATTCGGACGATATGATGGTTGTTTGCCCGGTGTAGATGGCGCTTCGAGGATCAACCATGATCGAACCATGAACGGCGGGAATTCGAGAAAGTGGCGGTGAAAATTCTCGTCTTTCCTCGATTTCGAGAGAGGCAGTTCTTCTTATTTTTCGAAAAACAATCATATTTTAAAAAATGAATATCGTGACGAGAATCGTTTCGAGTTGGCGATAGTTTGGAAAAGTTTATATCGTTGTTGTTACGAGTTGGAAAAAATCGTGGAGGGAATCACGGTGGAAAAACCGGTTTTGTTTTGTGCAAAAACGAACATGCATAACGTGGAGAACGCTTAATTTTCGGCGTTTTCGAGCGTCGAGCGTGTACAACGGAAGCGTGGCGGAAGGTCAGTGGGATGCACGGGAAGCGAGAATCACCCCGATTCGATTCCTCGACCTCGATTTTTTGCTAATTCTCTCTTTATCCGAGATTTATTTCTATCGTATCGATGGATCGAGTGAATTTCAAATGGGATCAGATTAATTGCTTAAAAATCGATAATTATTAAAGATGAATTCGGGAATTGAATTGAGGTATGAAAATATACGCGATCGCGAGTTACGAATAAATTTAATATAAAGTGTATATAAAAAAAATGTATGGCAATTACAGGAGAAACGAATAAGTAAATAATAACGGTTGAAAATAAAATAAAAATAGAGAGGAAAATTTATCGTGAAAGTTGAGAGATTAATGTGTAGAAACTGTTAAACGACTTTCTTGAATCGTTCGAAGAATTTTATCGTTGCTAATTTTACATAACTTCATTCGTAGCAATATTTCATCCATTACGAGGGGTTTCTTTTCCATTAAGAACTTTCAACTTAACTTTATAATAGTCGAATAAAATCATAAAATACCGGGGCACCGTACTAATTCAAGTACATATTAAATAAGTATCAATTTGGAATCAATATAAGGACATCCATATTGCTATCTTGGTAAAGATGGAAGTAGTAGTAAAAGCACGTTTAGGGTCAGACGTGTCTTCAAGTAGAAATATGGATCGATACACAGTCCTGTATTTAATGGCGTTGAGGAAATGTGTCTTTGATGCAGCATTGAATTCATCGTCGTGATGAAACTTTTATCTTTCGTCTGTAATATAAAATTTAATTGTTTCTATTTACAAAATGAAATTTTATAATAATTATTGCTTATTAAAAATTTCAATAATAAATAATTCGACTTTTGCAAAAAAATTGAAAGACTGCGAGATGAAGAAGAAATAAAGAATTTAAATGTAGAATCTTAAATTGCAAGATAGAGAGGGGGAGAAAAAAATTAGAAAGTTAAAAAATATCTAGGAAAAATTCCGATTTAAGAATAATTGGAAATTTTCAAAAATTCTAAATATTCTAAAGAATCCACAATTCTCTGCAACCAAGTTCCAATTCCTTCGATCCTTAATTTCAAATTCGTACAATCACCGAAATACGAAATCTCAAAAATTCAAAAACGAATCTCTAAACCCGTTGATCCCGACGAATTGGCAACCTTATAACCGTATCTACCATCGCCACTCTTTTCATACTCTTCCATTGATATGCAAATGGCCGAGGAAAGTTGAGAACCGCTGACACGAGTGGAGACAAGACGAGCGTCGTCGTCGTGGCTCGAAGACGGCGGAGAGAAAGCTGGTGGCGGACAAGATAGCCTTGGTAACCGGGCGAAGTTGAGAGTTAAGTTTTAATTAATGTAATGGAGAGTAGCGCGTGATTAGCCTTCCAATCAGTGAACTTCTCTTTTCATGGACGCGGCTTGGCGAGAAAGCGACAAAAAGAAAAAAGGAGAAGGGAGGAGCAGGGATGTCGTTTCGCGTGGCGAAATCCGAGTAAGGCGAAGCTGGTAAATGGGCCAATCGACGGCATTACCATTAAGATTCTTGATTCGACGACGAGGAGCGATGAGAGAAGGTCAGGCAAACGAATAAAGGATAAGCGGGATTATTCTGATCTAACGTTTGCTTGCTCCACCGCCGTATTTTAATCGATTCGTCGATCCAACTTTCCTTTTCCTTTCTTGAAAGGAATTGTAATATTGCCCTGCTCTTTCTTATTAATATTAATATTAATATTTGTGAAAATTTATTGTCAGGTAGTATCTCTTCATCACGATTCTCTCGCGATCAAATTTGATTTAAAATTTGAATTAAATCGAGCTAAATTGAGTTAAATTTAGAATTGCTTATTAGTCGATAAATCGATAAAACGAG